AATAATAATGAAGTTACTGATCAGCTTGGTTCAAGGCAACACAAAAAGGTCTTTGACTGCTCTAACATTTTCAGCTAATGTAATTATTTGCTCTTAGTCATTTCTGACCCCATTTGTGCAGAAGATGTAATTAGTCGTACTTCAACAGTCCCCGTGCTTTATAGGTTTATATCCTGTTTCAGGCATTGATTGAGCTTTTAGACCAAGTAGAAGATGTTATCTCGGTTGAACCAAAAACTAAGGAGAAAGTTGCCCATAGTCATGATGAACCAGATAAGCCAGCTTCCATTGTGCTAGAAGATGTAATTTCTGTTATACCAAAATATGAGGAGAAAGTTGCATCCCATAGTCATGAAGAGCCAGCTAGGCCAGCTGCCATTGTGCTAGAAGATGTCATTAATGTTGAACCAAACTGTGAGGAGAAAGTTACATCCCATANCTGTGAGGAGAAAGTTGCATCCCATAGTCATGATGAACCAGCTAAGCCAGCTGCCATTTTGCAGAAATCGGCAGAATTTTTTTGTGCACGTGACCAAAGGAAAGAGTCAACTATCTATTTTTTTGTATTGGAGGTACATTGGAACTTCTCTTATTTAAATAGATCCTTTATGTGAATTATGGATCGATGTACTTCAAAACATATGTTACTACAGGTTTCTGAGAAGCATGGACAAGTTGAAACATCTGGACAGCAGTACTCCTTCAAGGTTTGTGCCAAAGCCCCTTGCTAAAACCTTTGTGAGTTCTCACTTCTCACTAACCCAAGTGATGTATGGACACTTGACGATGACTTTCAGGTTTTGCGCATACTGAATGAACAAAGTGGAGAAGAGCGAGTTTTGCAATTGACGGATGAGTGGTAATGAGTTGAATCTCTGTTATTTCATCTATTTTCAATCTGCTGAATATACTTAAAAACACAGATTTACAATCAAGCTATTTCGTTCAAGAGGACCAATACTCTTGAATAATTTCCTCTATTTCTGTTATAGTAGAATGTAGACAACATGGGGGATGGACTTTCCTGGTCACAATGACTTGTTACTTGAACACGAATACTTTTGCTACTCTTACCTCATCTTCCCAACTGACAGTTCAGTTGTAATGATATTTAGTCATGCAGAACAACAATCTCAATGTGCATTGTGTAACTTATATCTTGCTTCTTTAGATCTGTCATGGACCCAATGAGATTATCATGTGAACTAAACAAACAGAGATTACAGTGCCACTGCTACTCGGATGACCTTCAAACACTAGTTTTGTCCCCCTTCTTCTTGCATCATATGTCTTTTGT